ATGTTTTGGAGAGTTTGGATTCAATGAGATTCTTGCATGTTGTATTAATGGCATGTTCTAGGAATTCATGTTAATTTTGCACAAATTGGGTTGCTCTTGGGCTACGATTTCTTGAAATGATTTTTAATACATGTTGTTTTATGAGTTATTTTATGTTTTCTCAAATATTGGCCCAGAAAAATGAGTTTTGAAGGCTTAAAGGTTGAGTTTCATGCTTGGGGGTCAATCTGGATTTTCTAGAAATTTGATCCACGCTTGAGCGGGTACTTTTGCGCTCGAGCGTGAATCCTGAGTACATGCACTTCCGCTCGAGCGTCTATAGTTACGCTCGAGCGTGAAATGCGTATACCTAGAAGTTTGTGTGTTTTGCAGTCCGCTCGAGCGGGGGGAAACCACACTCGAGCGAGACTCCGAGTCTCACGCTCGAGCGGGGATCAAGCGCCCGTCGAGCATGAAAATCTTGCATCTAGTATTTTTGTCGATTTTACAGTCCGCTCGAGCGAGGAAGTTCACGCTCGAGCAGAGCTTCAACATCTGCATGTCCGCTCGAGCGGGGTAATCCACGCTGGAGCGTGGACCTTATCTTCAGCAAAATTTAGGAAATGGTTTTCAAGGCATGTTTGCATCCTCATTCCATCCTAGGCAGTTCTAGGCCATGTTTAAGACCCTTTTATGAGGATTAAAGGTTAGAAACACACTGAGAACCAACGACATAAGTTTTGTGCAATTAGAATGTGTGTTTCAAGTGTGTATTTGTTATATGTTATGTAGGTCACGTGCCGCGTTCTGTCTGACTAATCTGCTCTGTCTGTTTGTCTCAAGGCCAACTGTGAGTAATAACTTAGTAAAGTTATGTTCAAACTGTATCTACTTTCTGTGTGATAAAACAAGATCTGTTTTCAGAAATGATATGCTCTGTACAATGAATGATTGTTCAATTTCTGATATGTATTCGTGACATCCTTAGCATCATGTGATATCTGTTAGCTGTTACCCGGCATCGGAGGCTCCTTTATGGAACTTATTTCTGTCTACACTCTGTTACCCATACCGGAGGCCCTGTCACGGGGGCTCAGCTTCTGTTCTATTGCCGGATCTGGAGGTTCCTTTATGGAACTAGTTATTCATAACCTCACGTGTATACGTTCTGTTCTGTTCTGTTCTGTTAATACTAATGGATGTATCACGTAAACTTAATCATGACTTATGATTTCTGTCTGTATATGATCTGGATAAATGATGAATTTGATACAAATCTGAATTATGATTTCTAAATCTGTACGAACTCATTCATTGAAACCCTTTACTATATTATTATTCACTGGGCTTTCGCTCACAGTTTATATTATGTATGTAGGTGAGCCGGCACATGACCAGGGCCAGAGTTGGCGGCCTTCTGTTTCGTTTTTGTCATCCAATTGTTGTGCCTCCCGATGAGGTTCCGAACGAAGCCTAATGCCATGGCTGTTTTTGTATACATGCTAGTCTTTGTGTATGCTCTGTAAAGTCAGGTCTTGGGAAGTACATTCTGTATATACCTTGTTAATATTGTGTATCTGGACTAGCATGTTTAAGTATATATATATATAAATTTTGAAATGTTCTGTCCCATGTACGTTATCACAGCTCATTGGACCTTGTCTATTTTGTATTATTGCTTCCGCAGCCCCTTATTATTTGCTAATATGTTCAAAGGCCTTTGGTAATCCACGGATTACTGGCCGGTTACGGTGCTAAACCTACATGGGTGGGTTTGGGTCGTGACAGGCATCAAAAGTGGTATACGACCACAAAAGTGGTCTCCCAGACCATAGTGTTCCTCTAGAAAGAGGCAACAAGGCATGGTTCAAAAATCACGTCAAACGGAGAACGTTAAGCGGTCCTGAGACAAGGCGCGCGGTCGAAGGCTTGAAAAATCAGAAACTAGTCTCCAAACGGGAAAAGTGGCCTACGACCACGAAAGTGGTCTATGACCACAAAGAGATGGTTTATAAGACCTCTCCCTCCCTCCGGGAAGAGAAAACAAGATTCGGTCCACAAGCCGAGCCGAAACACAAAGAGTTCAGAGGCTCGGAGGCAAGCCTCTCAGCCAAAACTCTGAAACCTCGAAACGAGTGCAACATACACTATCACTGAGCGCTCAATCGATGACGTCTGAGTCTTAAGGTCAGTCAAAAATAAATGGGGTGTCTACATGGGGTGTCAACATGTAGACACCCTATTTTTGACGGCCCTTACGACTTGGACGTCATTGCATAGACACCTAATGATGAGTTTATATGCTCGCCAAGTGCTCGAAGTTCTCAGCGGGATGCCACAGCTTTGAGCCTTTCAAACCTTACACCCTTGTTGCCTCATTCTTGGACCAAGCCTTGGTTTTTCAAGCCTATAGCTTCTGGTGGCTTGTTGGCCACCTTTTTTGGGCTGCCGGCCATCACTTTTTGGTTGTCAGCCACTGATATGGCTTGTCGGCCACCACTCATGGCTGGCCAGCCAGTAGTTTTTTTGCTGATATTTTGTGATAGTTGTGCCAGCTGTTTCCACAGATGCATGCATCTGCACCCACGTGTAGGGCTAGATATTCTTGTAGGGAATTCATATTTTCTGTATATACGAGACCCCTCTCTCTTGTTTTAAGGTTAGAAAATTTTGAGATCAAAATTTTTCCTGTCTCTCCATAATTGTCTCTCTCTAGCAAATCTCTACACTTTTGCCTACAAATCCTTAGCCTTTGCATACGCACCCTTAACCAGATCTTCTCATCTTTGAGTTGAGGTACTTTTGAGCTTGGTTTGAGCTCTTGAAAGGTGTGTTGTCTTGGTTTTGTTGCTTGAATTACTTCTTCTTTTCAAAAGGTATAAGGCTTTGCCTATTTGCTTACTTTCTCTACTATTTTACTTGTTGTTTTCCAACTGATTTTGGGTTGTAAAACTTCTGCATTTTTGGGCTGAAACTTGGGTTCTAAGGCCATTAAAGGTTAAGGGGTGGTTCACCCTTCTTTGTACCTTGTTTTAGAGGCCTTTGCCCTTGTGTTTTCCATACTTTTATCGTCCTTTTTTAGCTTTAAAACACTGATTTTCAAAGTTATTTCAGTGGCCAAAATCATGTTTTGAGGTCCAAATTTGGAGGGGTTAGCCTCATCTCCTTGTGTCTTGCTTACTAGCCTAGTTTGTGCCATGTTTTAGCATATTAATCTAGACTTTTTAAGCTCAATTTCAGCATGTTTTAGGACTGTATTAGACCTGTTTTAGCACCGTTTTTTAGTGATAGTTACATTTGAGGTTTGTTTTGCATGCTTATAGTGTAATTGTCCTTATGAGTTTGGTGTTCTAGGCCTTAGACACCATCTTCTTTGAGTTGATTGCATTTATTTATGCTCTTATCACTCACTTTTAGCACTAATCATCTCTACAACCTTCCTCATTTCTTGGCTTTTTGCTTTGATAGTGGTTCAAACTACTTGTTTGTCTAAAGCATGAGATTGATGTGTCATGCTTAATGGTTTAATCCCTTAGGAGGGTCATTACCAATGGTATGATGTCTCTTTCATGCCTAAAACAACTCTTGGTTTGAGCCCTCTTTCCATTAGAGGACTTAAACTCACTCTTTGGACTCAATTGATTAAAGGATGATTGGTAATTTAAAATGGAGTAATTAAAATTGGGACTAAAATGGTGAAAGATAATAATTTGGTTGTGTTCAATCGGGCGTTAATTGAACATATGGAAGCTTGAACCATTTTATAATCATTAGTGATGAAATGATTCAAGGTTCCAAGGTCACTACTTCCCTTGATCATTCATGATAGGGAGGTGGTTTTGAGAGTCTCATTTTGTTGCATTTATTGAAATTGCACACTTTCGTTCATAAGCCATCATGCAATGAAATTGCTTGAGTTAGTGATTTGTGAACCAAGTTCATTACTCCTTTGATTTGTTCATGAAAAGGAGGGGTAAGTTGTGCAGACAACCCTTGAAAATCTCTGTGCATGCTTTATTTGTCCTTTGTTGCAGCAAGAAGAACTGGGCAACAGTGGCCGGCAGGTGGCCGACAGACCAACATTGATGGCCGGCCGACCATCACTGGTGGCCGGGAACCCTCATCACTGGCCGGCCGGCCACTGATGCAAAATTCAACAGTGTGTTCTTTAGGCCAAATAGAGTTGTTCTGGAAGTGGGTAACAATGTTAGTATTCTATTGCGCAACAAAGACTTGTTAAGGTGCTTTAATTAGGCATGAAAGATAATGGTTTATGATTCCAGCCTCGTCAGGAGGTTGTTGACGTGCTTTTGAATCATTAACTATGATTTATGCACTCTTAATAATCTAGTTGTTCGCAACAATGGGTTGATTTTTATCGAGTAATCATAACTCATTCTAATTTTAATGTTTTTAGCATTTAAAAACAATGCCAACTGGGCGAAAAATGATTAGATGGTAAGAATTTGTGTGTATATAAGTTAGAATTTTTCCACGAGAAAGTAGCAATAAGGTCTCCACCGAAAATTGAAATGCAGTGTTGTGCAGAAAAAAAGGCAGCTGCAATGTGCATCGATTTTCCTAGATCTATTCCTCATTAGGACACAAATTACTCGGGCTAAACAAGGTAAAATTTGATAAATCCTAATAACAGGGCATCTTTAGAACTGATTAGTCAAATGCATCACATTGCAATACATATTACAAACTTATGAAGTTCTATTTTATTTATTTTATTTTATTTTTTCAGACGGAATCCTATATGGGGCTCATGAGATGTTTGTCATGCTCTTTTCGATGTTGTAGATTATTTTTTAAGGAGGTTGCTCTTTGATATATTCCTTTTAAGCTCTTTTGGTTGCTTAGAAAATGGGGAAAAAGAAGAAAGGAGAAAGAAAATTTTGATATACTTGTGTGTTTTTCGTTTTGTCTATTCTTTCATACAACGACACAAATCACTTTATCAAGAAGGATGTTAGACCGACTAGCTGACTCATGTCAGTGATAGTGAACATTTAGTTAATAATTCATTTTTATTTTTTCCTAAATTTATTTGACAACTGAGAATATGGGGTCGGCAGTTGGGTTGAACATTTTCTTGTTTTGACAGGCTTATGATGATATCCCAAAGGAGATACCTGATCCTGATGCCATAAAGGTATTCATTTAAAATTCTATGCAGTATCATATATACTCATGTTTTGAAATTCTTGTTAGAAGTAATGTAGTCATTAATGTTGTGTTTGGTTACGGGATTTGAAAAGGGATTTGGAAAAGAAAAGAGAAAAGGTATGTGAAATTAGGTGAAATATAGACATATTTTGAAATTCTTGCTAGAAGTAATGTAGTCACTAAGTAAGATGGTTTCCAATTTCAGCCTGAAGATTGGGATGATGAAGAAGATAGTGAGTGGACACCCACAACAATGCTTAATCCAGACTACCAGGGTCCATGGAAGACAAAGATATGTGGAATTTCTACGTTAAATTTATGTAACTGTTGCCATTAGAAACCACTGATTTATAACTAGTAAGTTCCTTTTTTTAGAAAATTAAGAATCCCAACTAGCAGGGCAAGTGGAAGGCACCTATGATTGGCAACCTAGGTTGCTCTAAATCTTTACGTTACATGTTTCATTAACACCGAAAAATTGCTACTATGGTGTTTTGAAAAATTGGTAAAAAATTGATTTTTTCATTTTTTTGTGACTTTTTAGCTTTTTGTGTGAAAAAAGTAGAGGTGATATGGCCCAAGAAAATCAAAACCCCAAAAAACTGACTTTTTACTATGTTGCCAAAATGCTGCAGAGTTCAAAGGTGACGATGATCTCTATGTTTTCCCGAAGTTGAAGTACGTGGGCATTGAATTGTGGCAGGTATTTCTATTTTTTCCCTCATAAATGGTTTATCATTCTTTTGGAATTGTGACTATGAAGCAAGTTGCATGAATTTTGTCAGGTGAAATCTGGAACCCTGTTCGACATTGTCTTGATTTGTGATGATCCGGAGTGTGCAATGAAGCTGGCAAAGGAAACATGGTATGGACATATATATATGACAATATATATTTCTATTACATGTTTAAATTAATTTGTTAATTTTATGTTATTTTTCAAATAAAAAATTATTAAGCGCATGCAATTGATATTTTTGTTGTAACAAATGCATATATAATTTTTATAATAACTAATTATTTGTGACAAATGTCATTGAATACTATTTGTGACCGAAATTAGATGGTCGCTAAAACATAACAAGCATTTTTTTTTAATTTTTTGTGACGGCAAAACAATAGACGCAAAAAGTAAGTTAGGTGGTTGCAAATAATTTGTGACCACTACTTCACCGTCGCAAAAAATATTTGCCACCTCCATATTTATGTCTCCCATTTGCTGTTGCATGGGTTGTCACAAAAAAATTTGTGATTATATTTCTCTTTTTTACGACAGCTGGTAGTCGTTGTAAAAAATACTTTTTTTTAGTAGTGTTTTTTTTGTTTTTCTTGTGTATTTTTATATTTAGCAGTGTTTTTGTTTTTGTAATGTCTTTGTTAACAGAGAACTTTTGAGACCCATGAGGAGAGGTCCGTGTCATTTGCCAATAATCATGAGTCTAGTTGTAATTTTGGTAATATTTGGAAGCTCACTGTAATTTACCGAAGAATCTTGCTAACTGTTTCAAAACTTTGCACACAAAGCTTAGGTGAGACCACGAGCAACTCCGGGAAGGAGGCAAAAGAGTTATATGAGGTATTTTTTTTTAGTGAAATTGTTTTAGCTTTGTATTATAAGAGGCATTTTATTTATTTTTATTTTGGCTCCCTACAAGTAGCTAGTATTTAATGCTAGGCAAAATGTCCTCCCGTCATTCATCCACATTTGCTTCCTATGTCTATCTTTGCTGCATTTCTGTTTGCTTTATATTTGTTGTTTACTTTTTTCTCCAGTCATTTGATCATCTGAATATTATTGTTGAAATATTATAATCATTTAAAAATATAATCGTGTAAAAATATTATTTTAAAAAAAAATTAATAATATATTTTTAAAAAATAAATATTTATAATGTCATGCCAACAATCACGTTAACATTAAATTAATATGTAACATGTCATAAAAAATATTATATTTTTTTTTTTATGTTTATAATATTTTTCTTTAACAGATTAGTTAAGTTAGTTTAATTAGTTATCTAAAATAAAGAATTTGATTAGAGTATACATTAACTAAACTAGTTAAGCAAAATTAGAAATCAAAATGCTTGGTTCCATTTTTCCAAAAACATTTTTCAGAAATTTTATTTTCTTATTTTTCGTGTTTTTTTGTTTTTACTATTTTTTTTAATATTTTAAGCAATTTTATTACTTTTTAGACACACTTAACATAAATATACCTAAAAGGTTAAAAATTGTAAAAAAAATCTTTTAAAAATTCACTAAATGTCAAAAATATAAAAATTCAATACATTTTTTGTATTTTTATGTATTTATTAATTTTTAAAATTTTTTTTTTACAACTTTTTTAATTTTTAGATACATGTAAGTAGGGTGCATCTAAAAAAGTTAAAAAAAATTTAAAAATTTTAAAAATATTTACTAAAAATAAAAATAAAATACAAATTCAGAAAATTCAAATCAAACATACTGAATAATATTTTTTTGTGTACTTTTATAAGATATTTTGCCTAACAATTTTGGAGTTGCTCGAATGGACTTTAGCTATTATAGCTAGTTACCTATTTTACTCCTAATAATAAGCTAGTTAGTAAGTACAATAATTATTTTAACATTTTTTTCGCCATCTTTTCCTTGGAATGGCTACATTTGAAAAGTCATAGAAGGCTCTCTCTATAATTTGTGAATGAATAGATAAAATAAGGATAAATTATAAATATACACTTTGAGATTTGTTTAAAATATTAATTACTTCTTATAATTTTAGAAATTACATCTCGTCCATTTAATTTTATAATTTCATAACAAATGATTCCTTTATCGATAAATTATCAAGTTAATTTATAGTTTTTAATTATGTCAGAAATTTATTTTAATTAATTATTTAAGTAATTTTATTATTATATAAGAGCGCAAATATGATTTTTTTTTAGTTAATTTTATTAAATAAACAATTATGACAATGGATATTTGTAATTTGCTAAACAACAGAGACAATTATATACCCATAAAATAAATAGTATCATTGGAACACATAAATAAAAAAGTAATTAGGTAAAATAAAGAGATACTTTTTTTTGGATGTTAGCTAGTTAAAAACACAGAGTATAATTAGAGTTGGTTTAAGAGCATCTCACTAGCCATATAATAATTGTTAGTCAAAATGCCTCGTATAACTTATATTTTTCAATGCAAATGTACTACGCATATGATTAGACATTTTAACTTAATTCGCACTCGGAGCATCTCCAAGGAAATAGTTAAACAAGATTTATTAGACATTTTAGCCAATGTAAGTCTATTTTGAGCTCCAATGGGCTAGCTATTGGGCTAGCTACTTTATCATCCTATTTTTTTGGTGGCTACAATTGAAGAGCCTCAGAGGCTCTCCAAACAATTATGTATGTGTATACTTTAGATTTTTGTATATTTATGTCTTGGATTTGGGATTTTACATATTTTATATATAAATATGTGTGTGTGTGTGTGTGTGTGTGTATGTAGCAATTTTATATGTTCTTTCAATTATGCCTGATGAATTACGGAATAATTTATTTTGTATTTTGTGTTTTTTTCTCTTCATACTATAGGTTTTGTATATTTGTATGAGCAAATTTATTATTATTGCAAATTTATATTAGTAAAATATTAACAATTAGTATTTTTTTATTTTAAAAATTAATTAAGTTAGTTTAAATGATTAGCTAAAATAAAGAGCATGGTTGGAGAACACAATAGCTAAAGTAATTAGGTAAAATAAAGAGTGTAATTTTTTTGTACTTTAGCTAGTGAAAAGTAGAGAGTGTGGTTGGAGTTGCTCACTAGTTTACATGTACCTAGTCTTCAAAGGCTAGGTAAAATGTATTAATCCTTATAATCATTTCCTTTCATCTTTATTGCTAGTGTGGCATTCTACAAAGCTAATAATATTTAGATGAATAGCTAAAATAAAGAGTATGATTAGAGTAGAAATATAAAAAAATTAACAAACAAATAAAATATATATGTTGGGATATACCTCCTTATTGGAGTGTGGGACCCAGTTGATTTATTAAAAGAGGTTTAATTTGGCTTGGTTTAGTATAATATATTTTTATATATTAGATTTGTGGAGACCTAATCTAATTTGGTAACAATTAGGATTTGATTACAAATCCCTAGATTCACAATATATATATATATATATTGTTTTGTGTGTACCGCAGGAGAAGTGTGCAGCGGCTGTTTTTGTACGTGTGTGTGCTAGATGATCATCTTTGGTAATCATCATTGTAGACAAGCATGCTGCTGGTTTGATTTAGTGGTAGGATTTCAGCAATCTTTGTGTGGGTTGATTTGGAGGATTATTTTGGGACGTTTACAACTCTGGTTCTGAAGATTTTGATTCTTCTATTTGGTGAGGTCTTTCCTCTTTGTTTATTTGTGATTATTTGGAATTCACCTAAGGGTGATTTTGTGAGACCATTAGTGTCTCGTTTGTAATCGTTTGGAACTTATTTGGTTGATAGTGGAATCGGATTTCGATCCCGTGGACGTACCTCACATTGAGGGAACCACGTAAAAATTCTTGTGTTGCCTTTGATTTAATTTTTCCGCATTAGTTTTTATTCCCATTGATTGATTTACTTGTGGGGAATCACATCGATTTTCCCTAACAATATATACTTTACAATAATATTTAGATAGATAAAGTGCCTATCACTACAAAAAAATTGACTTTTTGCGACGACAAATTGCCGTCACAAATACTCAAAGCACCGTCTCAAAAACTTTTTTGCGACGGCAACTGACTTTTAGCGACGGCAAAGGGGAGGTCACAACAAAGGGTGTTGCTAAAAGTTTTTTGCAACGGTGAGTTGCCTTTTTGCGACGGAATTATGTCGTCGGCAATAATATGTAAAAATCTAGGATTTTTTGAGACGGCACTGTGTTGACGTCGCTAAAAGTGGTATTTGCGACGGAAAAAAATGTCGTCGCTAAAAGTGTTATTTGCGACTGGGGTACTTGCCATCGCTAAAAGTTATTGAGACAGCACAGATATGCCGTCGTTAAGATATTATTGGCGACGACAAACAAGACTGTCGCGAAAGGTTTTTTCCAACTATTGGCAATATCTTTTGCGACGGCAATGTTGACGTCGCAAAAAAAAAAAAAAAAAAAAAAAAAAAAAAAAAAACTGGTTCTTATGTTTTTTTGAGACGGTGTGGTGCTGTCTCAAAAAAAAAATATTAAAAATATGAAAATTACATGTATTAAATAAAAAATAACTAAAAAAGAAACCGATAATTAAATAATAATATAAAAATTCCAGTATAAAAACAACAATTCATCTATAATAAAAATATTCTTCCATTCATAACAATACACCAGCAAAATTATCTCGCTACATAATGTTGCATAATACATGTACAATGTTTAAATATATAATGTTGTTCACAAATCAAAATAACATAAATAAAAAATAAAAGTTTTCCTCATGATTTTTCCATAGGTAACAAACGCAAAAGTTAGTCGCAATCTAACTCCCGCCTACATTCCACAAGAAGCAAACCGCTACTCAAGAAATATCTGTAAACAAAAAATAAAAATAATTAATGACAATATAATTATGTGTTTATATTTTAATTACAAAAAAATAAAAAAAAATTAATTACCATATAACTACAAAGATAATTAAATCCGGCTCTAACTCTCAAACCGGGAACCCGATTGGAGTCCCGTCTTCTCCCACAAGTCTCTCGTGCCTAAGCAGTCGTGTGTGCCAAGTTTCGTGCTAATCCGACGCCATTCGGTGATTTTGGAGGCGTCAACACCTCGAATTCAAGTTTCTTAAGGAACTAGTTTGCCTAGAGTGAAATCCGGCTCTAACTCCCAAACCGGGAACCCGATTGGAGTCTCGTCTTCTCCCACAAGTCTCTCGTACCTAGGCAGTCGTGTGTGCCAAGTTTCGTGCTAAACCGACGTCGTTCGGTGATTTTGGGGCGTCAACACCTCAAATTCAAATTTCTTAAGGAACTAGTTTGCCTAGAGTGAAATTCGGCTCTAACTCCCAAACCGGGAACCCGATTAGAGTCCCGTCTTCTCCTACAAGTCTCTCGTGCCTAGGCGGTCGTGTGTGCCAAGTTTCGTGCTAAACGGACGCCATTTGGTGATTTTGGGAAATCAACACCTCGAATTCAAATTTCTTAAGGAACTAGTTTGCCTAGAGTGAAATCCGGCTCTAACTCCCAACCCGGGAATCCGATTGGAGTCCCGTCTTCTCTCACAAGCCCCTCGTGCCTAGGCAGCCGTGTGTGCCAAGTTTCGTGCTAAATGATTTTTATTTAACAGTTTCTAAAAATAATTTTTTCACATTTCCTTAACCTCCTCATCCTTGACTAACACCTACAAATTCTCACTTTTATATACTTAACCTGATTAAGTATCTTATTTCATTTATCTCAATTTAGGAAATTTTTAAATATTATTTTCTTCATCTTTACTAACTAATCTAGAATAAAGATTGGTGTAGTCTTTTAGCTTAGCATCCCTAATTATCCTTTTAACCTTCTTATTCGCCAATTTATATCTTTTAAAATCTTCATCCTTTTTTATCCTCTTGTCATTTTTCAAACCATTCATTAGATACATATTGATCAT